TATTTATTTATTTATACCCTGCCTATCTGGTCATTTTAGGTCCTTTTCTATGGAAAAATCCAGAGTAAGGTGATGGAGGGGAGTATAGACAAGATGAAATTCCAAGGCTACATAAAAATAAAAGGTTTCAAATGAAACTTCATCTTCCTGAGCATTTTTAAAGCACACCCATGTGTTCTTAGGTGTGCTCCATAACCAAATGAATGAACACACAAGGCAACATAGAGGCGAACTTTCTAAGTGTCTGGGGGCAGGGGAATAATCCAAAATGAAATCATCTAATAAAGCATTTATTTTATACATACTGGACTCCATCTCCCTCCTTTCGTTCTTTAATTGCTACCTTTCCTCTTTCCATTTCTCTGCAGAAGTCTCTAATACACTACCATGTAGTCACAAGCACAGGGCTTCCCCAAAACATGTTGTGGTCGAGGCACACAAGAAGATGGTACCCTCCCATTCCATGTATAGATGCCAGCTGGACTAGTGGTGGGATCATGTCTTCCACTACATCTAGTTTCAGAAATTCTGTTCTCCAACTTCTCAGTGACCATCCTCCCTTGTATTTGCTGCCTGAGGTGACTGTCTTGTTCCGACTGCTGGACTGACCCTGTTCCCAAGCATCTCCTGTGGGCAGAATTCCTATGGGATGCTTTCGTGCTGAGAAAGCAAATGATGTGGCTGCAGAACAACATGGTTTGTTGCATGTGCAAGAAACCATGTACATAGTGGGGCCAGATGTTCCTCACAGTCTTTGAAAGAGTTCAAATTAATTGAAACCACAAAAGCATCACTCACATAAAAATGAGCTTTATGAGTTATACATAAGTTTAGTCTCGTCTGACGCAGTTTGCTGCTGACAGACCTCTGCCACTTACATTCAGTCAGTGAAGCATACATGGAGTCTTGTATGACCAAGGAAACCCCTAATGTTCTCCTGCATAGTTGTAATTCTGTGTTTTGTGTATGTTTTGTGCTGTCAAATCACATCCCATTTATGGCAAGCCTACATAGGGTTTTCAGGATATGTTGAGATATTTAAGGATTGGTTTTATAAGTGAACTTTTGTTGCCTGCAGGGGATTTGAATCCAGATCTTCGAGGCCATTCCAGTCACCACACCATGCTGGCTCTTAGTAAACAGCAGACTTCAGCATCACGTCCTTTGTCTTTTGAGGTAACCACCTTGATGAGCAGTACCTATGTGTCTCAAGTTTCTAAACTATTATTGTTGAAATGAAGACAGAATTGCTGTCAGTAGGACAACATAGAACTCCCCTTTAAGTTTCTTCCCATGTCTCAGAGTGATTCTACTGTGGAGGCATTCCTGTAAATGAGAGTCTGGGGAAATTTCTTCTTCTTCACCAAGTTGATTGGGGGATTCTCGGAGATGAGCTCCTAGAAGCAATTTCTCCCATCTTTAAGAATTTCCACCGTCTGGATGGATAACTCAGTAAGTTAGGCTTCTGGCTGTGGAGCCAGAGCTTGAGGGTTCGATTCCCCTGCTGTGCATCCCAGAAGAGCCAGCCTATGTAACTGTAGTCTTGAGCAAGCTACACAGTCCCAGGAGGCCCGCAGAAGAAAGGAATGGTAAACCACGTCTATGTATTCTCTATCTAGGAAATCCTCAAAAGGATTGCCGTAAGTCAAAATTGACTTGATGTCACTTTAAGGAGGCCCACCAGGGGCACTTAGTTGATAGGCAACACTTACCTGAAATGGGTTTTTGATTTTTTGGATGACACATAATCTGAATAAGTTTACAGGGCACATGTGTTTATGTTCTGATTAACTGCTAATCTGAAATGACTTCAGATTAATTTTGAAATGAAAGCACATTGGAAAGTTTTGATATGCATCTGCTTTTTATTGCATTTCTTTCTCAAAGACTTTGTTGGACCGACTGAGTAGAATAGAGAAGTTTTCTATTCTAAAACAATGTTTTTATTCTACGATAAATTTCCAAGGAGAAGTTTGAGGATTAGGAATTACACCTTTCACCATCTTGAACTGTATAACTAAGAATTGATTCATGGAATACTTTTTTAAAAATTCTTTTTTAAAAAAATATGCAGCATGTTTTAAAAATGAAAGTACAGGGTCTTGATTTCTGAAGAAGCTACTGGCATTCATATTTGGTCAAAAACTGTGCTTCATTCTCTTTTTTTAAAAAAATGATATTGCCTTTATTATGGTGTGTTAGAGATCATCATAGGACTGTAATATCTAGGTGTAAAAATGGCTTGACAGTCATAGCAGAGGCATATCCATTTATCAATGGCAGATAAATTGGAATCTCATCTGAGAGGGTATTGGTATGATCATGCTTTGCACTGTGCAACTATAATGATTGTGTGAGATTTTTGTCTGAAGTTCCTGCAGTTGTTCCAGATTTCTTAGTGAAGCCTGCAATCAGCGTATTATTGTGTGGATGTGGACTCAATGGATGGTCTGTATCCTTCCCATCTCTCATAGTGGGCTGGAAAGGAACCACGGCAAGACTGCCACAAGCAAGCTACACATTAGGAAATACTGCATAAGAGGACTGTACTGCTTAAGATTTATTGTAGGGGAGATGGCATGTTTGAAAACACCTCCAGTGAGAAAAGACGCAGTGACACAAGCCATGATCAACTCCCATTAATTTCAATGGCTCTATTCTAAATATAGTAAAGTCTGGGTCTAACTCAGTTCCTCTGCCATGCTAGTTTTCCCCAGGCAGGGAATTTTTGTTGGTGGGAAGAGAATTTTGTTCACATGGTCTGACATTCTGAAATGGAGGTGTTTAAGGACCCCTGCATAGTGGGAATAAAAGCTGGCTGATATCACATTTAAAAGTTGTTTATGAGCTCTCCAAGAATAATGGCTTACTTTGCCAAGTTACAAAACAGTCTTTCCCAAGCTAGATGTCCTGGGACGAGGGAGTTGGCATCCGGGATATGTGAATGGCACATGATTGATGAAGCTTGCCCTCAAGGAAAGTCCCTTTTAGATGGGCAGAACTGTCTCTGATACTGAAGGAGGTGGAAGAATCCTTAACTTCACAGAGGAACGTATGTTCCATTGTCACCCTTGCCCAAGTCCAAAAGCCAATGGATTAAGGCATCTATACTGAATTAGTTGGTTCAATTATTCACATAGGTAGTTTTTTTTTAAAAAAACATGAAATCAGGATTTGTAGTTGAGTGAAAATCATGGTGTCTGATTCACAAATACTAGTGTGGCTTGGTCTGAATGGTCTTAAAATAATGAAAAAACATAATTCTGAAAAGTGTCCTTGTTTTATTCCTTTTGTTTGGTTTGCTTTGTTTTTTGTGTGGAAGAGGATTTCTTGATGCTCCATCCCCTCCCCCTCCTACCAACTGTCCAAACATGAAACAGCTGCCTAGCTGCCTTACCAAGAAGATTTTATTGTTAAAATAAAAGTAGATTTTGTTTTGGGAAAAAAGAACACACATCTTCATTGTAAAACTCATGTTTGGTTTACAATTAGAGAAAAGTCACATGGTCCCAAAAACCCCGAGGTTTTTATA